GTATGTATGTATGTATGTATGTATGTATATACAAACAAACAAACATACATACATACATACATACATACATACATCCATACATACATACATAATAGATATAGATACAGATCCAGATATAGATATATGGATACACACATACATGTATATATCGGATACGTCCACGTATACATTTTTTGAATATACACACGAATGTAAATGAAAATTATTTTTCTTGAACAAACCGCAAACTCGAGTGAGGCATAGCTACACAACATCCATGTGTACTACGTCACGGAAGGTCAACCGAGGAGGAATGTGCACGCCGTAGATGTCACTTGCACATTCGTGTGATATCCAAATACAGATACTTGAGAAGAGTTCGGTACTGACCAACTGGTTGTGGCTATGGTCAGCGACCCTGAGCACCGCCTAGCACACGGGCACCAGCAGCACAAAATGAACTCGTCATATGGACATATGGCGTATTAAGTGCCGAATGATGTAACCACACGCCTCTTCCACCCTGCCGATTCATATTCATATGGACCGAACACACCTGGCGAATTGGGAGACAAGCCCTGCCAATCGGGGTAGCCACCCGCCTTGCCTGGCGGCTTGCCGACGGTGTCTTCTGGCTTATTAGCCTTGTTGTAGACGGTGTAAGTGTAGATGTTGGGGTTTCCTGTGTGAGGGATGTAGGTATCGATACGTATGTGTATGTTCGGGCGCCCGAAGACTGACTATAACCAGACATTCGCTGTTCTGAGGGAGCTGTGCTGGCGTATTAGTCTCGGTGGGGTTGTCTGTGGTATCAGGGCAGGTATGAGTACATATGCAAGTATCTATGGATAGGTATTTGCACGCACCGACGATAACGGCACAAACAAGTGCGGTTGTATATACGAGCCCTCAGCTGCCTACTCGTGACTGAACCGTGAATCAAGGACATAGCTTATTCTAAAAATCCACAACAGGACTTTCTTTCCTTAATCTTCTGACACTCATAGTACCTTAACACATCCTACCGTCACCTTACTAACATTCATATTATCTTGACGTATCATATCGTTACTACGAACATCCATAAAATCATAACACATCCTACCGATATATTTTTTTTGAATGTGTTTGTTGCAGTGGATATAGTGGTATTTGCTTCCTTGTGTTGCGATTTTTGTCGCACATTTAATTAACGAGACTCCATAGCACACCAGAACAGACCACCCCTCCCAAACTAATAGCCATTCTACTGGCAGACATCTCACACCTAACATTTCGGTCGCAGTATACAGATTCAAACAGAGCACCTTACCCATTGAGCATCTATTCTATCTCGAGCCGTACCTCGTATCAGGCTTTGATCCAACAAACGCATACAACAAACGCATACAACAAACAAACGCATACGACAAACACATACCTGGGTGCCCTTTGTCGGTTATGTCATACGTATAGAACGGATTGTCCACGTTGCGACGTTCGTCCTTGAGGTACTCGTCGTCGAACTCCAGGTCAGGGTAGGCGTCCACTGCATCCTTCTCCACTCGCTCGTAGAACTGTGGTGCGAAGGTGTGTCTATGTGTATGAATACGTTTGCTATTGCGTTCAAGTGGCATCAGTACGCTAGCTGTTGCGTTCAATTGTATAACTGCGCTATCTATTCGGTTGAAGTGTTTGTGGGCTCAATGTATGTGCGTAGAAGTACGCTGGTGCACGCGTACGTGTGAACGTGTGCTTGTATATATGTATTTGTGTACAAGTATCGCACGGGTAGAAGTATACTAACGTATGGATCTGACTGTGTGTGTATCAGTGTGTGACTGAGACTGTATCCGTGAGTTTATGTGTGTATGAGAAAATTTGCATATGACCTCGTACGTGTATGAGAAAGCAAGCGCAGGCGAACGTGAGTGCACGAGAGCATGTCTGTGTTCGGATGAGCACACCTTATGTGTGTAAACGCATATGCCTAAGTCAGTAACCATATCTATGTACCTGTGTCAGAGTACGTGGTAGAACACTCGGTAACGAGTAGATGGGGTGTTAGTATATGTGAGAGCGTGTACAAGTGTACACAGTACT